CAACGGGTATATAATCCCGCTCTGTAACGGCCTAACGGCTAACTCTGATAATACAACAAACTCCTTCTCTCTCATCTCTCTCTCTCTCTACTCCTGCTCTCCCATTTCTTCTACTTGCCAAGACTAATTCGACCCAGGTCTCCACAGTATTTTCTTCAATTTTCATTGATTAATATCATGATTGTGTGTTTTATTTTCGTCATGAACTAAACCCCAATTTCTGGGGGGAAACACCATAGGATGTAGCTATTTCTTGATTTGATGGATTGATTCGTATTTCTTTTCTTCCAATCTCTATTGCATGAAATCGCTTAATGCTTTGTGTTGACTGGCCACCAATACATTGATTTGTAGTTAATTAGGTTATTAGCGACAGTGAAACCCTAATGACTGAACATATTTCATGTGACATAGTAACTTATCGAAGCGACAGTGGATTAAATAAGGTACTATGCGGTCTTGATTGGGATATCGTTCTTCAGGCTAAATAGTTAATTCATTGAGCTACGACAGTAGGATTTGAATTAATTGTTTAGTACGTAGTAATTCCCGACAGGGATAGCTAGCACAGTTGTGATATCCTCGCTGTAGAGAATTGGATTAAAGTGATTAGAATATGTGAATTAATTTTGATATGATAGGTAGTGAGTCCCGGTGTTTCTCCCAGAGCTTTCTCCCATTGAATTTCTCCCGACAAGTTTACTTTGCTTAATTAGTTTAATTGTTTTGCTATTAGTTAATAGTTTCATCAACCAAACCATTTTCACCTATAGTTTGCTCCACATAATTGATAAATTATAAGGTTGTACCAGTTCCTGAGAGACGATACCCGGATTTCCGGTTTTACTACAAGATAGGAATTGGCATTACGCTTTTGCCCTATCAAGATTTTGGCGCCGTTGCCGGGGACTGCCATACCTTATTTTTGTTGATTTTTGTGAGTGAACTATTTTGATCTGGGTGTTAGTGTGCAGGTGAATTTTTCAGGTGTACCCTCCTCGTGCATGCCAAGGAGGACGATCAGCAATTTACTGCCACTTGATCCAGAGATAGAGAAGACCTGCCGACAAAATAGGAAGCATGTTAAGTTAGGGAAGCAGCCTATCACCACCACAAATCCTAGGCCTTCCCTAACCAAGAATCGTCAACAGAGAGGGCAGGCTGCATCACCTGTCGTCTCTACACCACCGACACCACCACCTCGTGACATTGATCATGTCATCATGGCAGACGAGGATCGATCAATCAGGGCTCGTTTGAATCGAAGGACTGGAGCCCGAGCTTCATGTGTTGTCATTCCGCCTGGGGATGCAACCATGGAAATTACCCCAGCATTCATCAATATGATCACCAATGGGTATACTTTCTCAGGGGCTAGCACTGAGGATCCTCACGAACACCTTCGTCGGTTCGCGAGCATTTGTGATACGATGAAGAGCCCGACTGTGTCTGATGATGCAATCTGTCTTCGGATGTTCTCATTTTCTCTGCTAGGGAATGCATCACACTGGTTCCAGAACTTAACACCCCGTTCCATCACGATATGGGCTTAGCTTGAGAAGACCTTTTTGGACAAATATTTTCCTCCAGCCAAGGCAATGAAGAGGCAAGAGGAAATTGTTACTTTTAAACAAGCTGAAGATGAGAGTCTGACCGAGGCATGGGAACGCTATAAGGGATTGTTGATGAGATGCCCAAGCCATGGTCTTGAAGATTGGAACGTGATCATTATTTTCTTCAATGGAATCAGAAGGGAGTTCCGGGATGCCCTGAATAATGCTTGTCGAAATGGTTTCACAAGTATGGAGGCACCAGCAGCATATGATCTGGTAGAGAAGATTTGTTCAGAAGCCCCTGAATGGGGTAGTGAAACCAGTATTCGAAGAAGAGGAGGCTTGCATGAGATAGACAGAATTGCGAGTTTAGAAGCAAAGCTGGATTCCAAGTTCGATGCACTCAAACGAAGGTTGGCCAAGATTGCTCTTGGTAGACAAGAGGAGGTTGCTTCTTGTGAATTGTGTGAAGGTGCTCATCATACGAATCTATGTCCACTGGGAGCTGGTCAGTTGGAAGATGTGCACTATATCAACAATCAGCGAAATCAAGGCCAGGGTGGTATGTATTCAAATACCTACAACCCGCAATGCAGGAAGCATCATAACTTTTCCTGGTCAAACAACAACCCAACTGGTGCTCGCAACATTCCACCTCCAGGGCTGAAAGCCACGCTAAAAATATGCAAGATACTTATTACCATTTGATGCAATGGCCAATGAAAGCCACGCTGAAAATTGGTAAGTATTTTTTGTACTAATTTAAAGCACAATTGTGGTTGTCTGCTGCCCAATATAAATCACTTTGGGTTCCCTTTTTTATGTTTTTTGGAGGGAGTGAAAATGAATATATAGTGAAACCGTAGTTTGTAAAATACGGCACGGGTAAGTTAGGTACAATGAAAGTAAAGTGAGTTGAATTGCAAAAATGATGTTGTGTAAAAAAAATCACAAATGCAATTACACCGATGTGGATGCTCTAATATATACCTGCCGAAAATTAAGGAGAAGGCACGATTTTTTGATGCTGAAAAGTTGGTAAAACTCCACCATCTCGTATTATTTTGATTTTATTTGACTTATGATTTTTTATTGTTTAAATTATAATTATAAAAATTTATAAATATCCATGTGGCACAGTCAAATGGTTGACTATTTGCCACGTCACATTCGACATCCAACCCAGCAAAAAAATTGTCACATCAGAGTCAACAAACAGTTGACCGGATGGAAAGTTGACGGTTTGACTATTATTTTGTTTAAAACGAAGGGTTTGCCTATTATATTGTACGGCCCGAACTATTCACAAATTAAAATATCCTCGCCAATATTTTCGATTTATAACATTGTGGCCTCAACTATGCATCAAAATTACGAAATTAACCAAACCCGAGATTCACCCATTCTTAGGGATGGCAATGGGGCGGGTTTGGGGCGGGTTTGCCTAAACCATCCCCATCCCCATCTTCAAATACCCAAATCCATACCCGCCCCATACCCATGCGGGGGAATGTTTTGCAAACCCATCCCCGTACCCGTGGGTTTCGGGTACCCATGGGTAATACCCATCCCCGTACATCCAACATTATTATACCTAAAACTTACAAGAAAAGTTTTAATTATAACCATAAACAAACCTATTATATCACGAAGTCAACAAAACACGGTCATTTTCTAAATACGATTCAAAGAATATGATCCTAAAACATCCATTAATACATAATATAGACTATAATATTTTTTAAATTATTATGCTCTAACTCTTGATACATTTACTAAGTAATAATTAACTAACATAATTTTGTTGACAAGGGGGAAAGTGAAAGAGTGGAAGGAGAATTGAGGGAAATGAATTAGGTTTTGATTAAGGTGGTTACTCAATTGCATTTCTACTATTTATTTTCTCGAGTTATCATCATCATCATTGATAGATTACAATTTAGGACTTTGCTACGGTGACATGCATGTCACGGTGACATGCACTTTTCGGTCGACCTCATATAGGATCAGGTCGACCTAATCAGTTGTTTCAGTGTACAAACAGTTTCATGGTGCCTAATTTAGAGATTCATATCTTACAATTGGCTAGATGGAAATTGGAGATTAAAGGCTTGTTTTGAAGCTGAAGTGTCCCTCTACACATTAAAGTACTTGGGAGCTCAATAGAAAGTCCAGAAGACCATTTTTGAACCTGACCAAAAGGCTATGCCAAAACTGGGAAACTGCCTAAAAATGGCTAAATCTGGCAACGTGTTTGTCAAGCCTACTTTGGAGCTCAATTTGACAAGCATGGATGCGAGTCAAGTCCAGGGGCCTTTACCACGTTAAATTACGTATTTTTTTATACAAAGGCAAGGAATTGAATGAAAGATTGAATATATTTAAGGCTTCAAACAAAAGGCTCGAAGTTGCTACGAATGCTGTTTTTCTGGCAGCTTGCTTGTGCTCGAAGTCTGCCAGAAAAACAGCCTTCGTAGCAACTTCGACCCTTTTGTTTGAAGCCTTAAAGATATCCAATCTTTCATCCAATTCATTGAATTTGTATAAAAACATACCTAATTTAACGTGGTAGAGGCTCCTGGACTCGACTCGCATTCATGCTTCTCGAATTGAGCTCAAAAATAGGCTTCACAAACACGTTTCCAGACTTAGCCATTTCTAGGCAGTTTCCCAGTTTTGGCATAGCCTTTTGATGAGGTTCAAAAATGGTCTTCTGGACTTCCTATCGAGCTCTCAATCACTTCAATATGTAGAGGGACACTCCAGCTTCAAAACAAGTCATTAGTCTTCAATTTCCATCTAGCCAATTGTATGATATGAATATCCAAAGTAGGCACCATGAACTGTTTTTACACTGAAACAACATATTAGGTCGACCGGATCCTATATGAGGTCGACCGAATCCTAAATGAGGTCGACCGGATCCTATATGAGGTCGACCGAATTCTATGTGAGGTCGACCTAATCCTAACTGAGGTCGACCGGAAAGTGCAAGTCACCGTGACATGCATGTCACCGTAGGCACACCCTACAATTTAATCCACGTATTTTTTGATATGTGAAGAAATTCTCTTGGTGGGGCGGGTATGGGTATGGGTATGGGGCGGGGGAGGCTAAAACCATACCCGCTCCATACCCATCAAACCTTTTGCGGGTTTTACCCATACCCGCCCCATACCCGGTCAAAGCGGGGATTCCCCGCGTTGACTGGGTATGGGGCGGTCGGGTACCCACGGCCATGGGTTTGATTGTCATCCCTATCCATTCTCTTAGATGGTCAAACACATTGACTAACGATCAACGCGCCACATTACAGACCACTTAAAAATTTGGGTTTTCAACGTATTACCGTAATGGGTTAATATATATTTTGGGTTTTCAACATATTACCGTATAGGGTTGATATATATATCTAGAAGTCATCTTATATTGCGCAACAGGGACTAAGCAGTAATTACGCCCACTCTATCTTCAAAACAGAAAGAGCAAGGCCAGGGGAAACCATCGTATAACCCGGTAACCCACACTTCATCGGCTCAACTTCTACACTGCCGGCGTGTGAATTAACCCAAGCTTTCCCCCAGAAGACCCTACCCCGAAAAAATGCTTCTCCAGCCGTCTCTGCATCAATCCAAGCTTTCTATCTCCTCCACCATCTCCTACTCCAGCTCCTTCCCATGGAGAACTCCCAACTTCACCCCTCGCCGGGCTCTCGATCGTTCCACATTCCCAATCACTTGCTCCATCTCACAAGTTCACAGCTATGGAACTGTTGATTTCGAGAGGAGACCTCTAATCAACTGGAACGGTGTCTACAGGAGGATTTCGTTAATGGAGAACCCAGATTTGGGCGCTGGTACCGTGTTGGCGCTGTGCGAGAAAGAAGGTAAGAAGCTCACCAAATGGGAGCTCTGCAGGGTCGTCAAGGAATTGCGGAAGTACAAACGATTCAAACAGGCTCTTGAGGTAAATAAATAAACATCTACCCGGTTGCCAATTTTTCCTCCTTCGTTTGATTTTATGGGGTTCTGTTTGGATGCTTGCGAGTGAGTGCGTTTTATGAATAATTGAACCATCAACCTTATGAAATGGTGGATCAGGTTTATGATTGGATGGGTAGCAAAGGAGATAAATTTAGGCGATCTGCTAGTGATGCCGCAATTCAGGTGGACCTTATAGCCAAAGTTCATGGAGTTTCTGCTGCCGAAGAATACTTTCAGGGTGTTCCTGATACTTTGAAGGATAGAAGGATCTATGGAGCTCTGCTCAATGCTTACGTTAAGCATAAAGAGAAGGAAAAGGCCGAAATGCTGATTGACAAAATGAGAGACAAAAACTATGCAACCCATGCACTTCCTTTCAATGTGATGATGACCCTGTACATGAATCTGAAGGAGTATGATAAGGTCGACAAATTGATCTTCGAGATGACGAAGAAGAACATCCAGCTCGATATGTATTCCTACAACATATGGTTGTCGTCTCGTGGGTCCGAAGGTGCTGTAGAGAAGATGGAGCAGGCGTTTGAGCAAATGAAACTGGATAGGCATGTTACTGCTAACTGGACTACCTACAGCACGATGGCGACAATGTACCTAAAGATGGGACTGAATGAGAAAGCGGAAGATTGCTTGAAGAAGGTCGAGGGAAGAATCACTGGGCGTGATAGGATGCCTTACCACTATCTCTTGAGTTTGTACGGTAATGTCGGCAAGAAATCAGAAGTTATCCGTGTTTGGAATACATACAAATCGAATTTCCCCAATATCCCTAATCTGGGATACCATGCTGTGATCTCTTCTCTGGTCCGGTTGGGCGACATTGAAGCAGCAGAGAACATGTATGATGAATGGATGCAAATCAAGACATCTTATGACCCCAGAATTGCAAATCTGCTCATGGGTTCTTATGTTAAAGATGGCAACTTTGACAGAGCTGAGAGTCTATTTCACGATATTACCGAAGCAAGAGCAAAGCCGAACTCTAATAGTTGGGAAATTCTTGCTGAAGGCCATGTGGCAGAGAAGAGAGTTTCTGAAGCTTTGAGTTGCTTGAAGGAAGCTCTTGATTTCGACTCTTCCAAGAGGTGGAAGCCAAAGCCTGCAATTGTTTCTTCCTTCTTTAAGCTTTGTGAGGAGGAAGGGGACTTGGTAAGTAAGGATGTACTGGAGAATTTATTCAGGCAGTTGGGATTCCTTGAAGATAAAAACTATGCATCTCTCATCGGTTTGTCCATCAGTGGCAATGAAAAAGAGTCAAACAAGAGAGACAGCAGCAGCGATGGGAACTACTATGAATCAAATGAAGATGCTGAAGACTCAGAGGTGCTTCTTAACTAGCTGCAGGCTAGTGTTTGAAATGTTTAGACTTTTGGGTACCGAGAGTGATTTTACTGAATAGGAATGCTTTACTCTCTAACAAAGCTGAAAGTTGGAATCTATCTGAGAGTAAGTGCATACCGTGAACCACCTCCTATTTCTCCCCTGGCATGGTTTGGCAACCGGATTTTTGTGTAATAATAATATCTATCCGAGATACAAAATCTAGATTGTACCTGGGTTGAGGTAAAGTTCGTCAACTAGTAGATTTGCAGTGTAAATCATCCATTTCTCTAATACGGGCAGCCAATTTGGTATGGAATGCTTGCACTCTTACTGTATTTCAAGGGTGCCAACACGGAAATAAAACAAAATCACCGGTTTAATATAGGATCATGTCTATTTTTTATCCAAATTTTTTTCAGATGATTTTATATTATCCAAACCTATTAAAATTCTATTAATTATCCAAATCTTGCATAATGTATCAGAATATTAGCAATTTTTACGTTATCGTTAATAATTTTGTTACTCTTTTCTTAGTTAAAATACTAAAATTTTGAAATGTTGACATTCATGAGTCTCTTTCAAGTCAGTATCATGTTGCCAAGTCAATATTACTAACAAAATTGCTAACTAGAAGTGAACATTTGGCTAATTTTTAGTATTTCACTAGATTTGGATAATATAAAAGAATCTTAAAAAGATTTTGATAAAAAATAGACATTACCCTTTAATTTATACCATAAACTTGAGTTTAATATGTACAATTTTTTGTACGGGTTCACAATTATTTGTATGGCTTTTAAGGATTTATTATGGTATTGTTTTTATCACAATATTGCTTGTATTGCTAGAAAACAACCAGAGTAGTTACATAGCTGAAAACAGTTCAGAAACATCAAACCCTACAATTAATATTCTCAAATATTGAGTCTCAAAATTCTCACCAAAGGACCTTCTTTGCCACCAACCAAGCAACCCTATTACACTTACGTCCAACAAACTGAGTCTCAAATAACCTGTAGAATTGTCACATGACACTCTACGACACAACTCCTAACAATGGCCAAGTGTAACCAATGAAAGGGACTGCAGTATAGTGGTATAAGTAATAAATATCGAATCCACGGATCTCTAGAGTTACTATTACTCAGCTTCAGTTCATTATCTAGCAAACCAGATAAAGGATTGATTAACTAAACTACTCTACTAACTAAACTAAGTAAAACAACTAATTACAGGTTGTGAACTCACTTAGGTATGATTTCCCCTCGCTCCTCAATTAGGTCCAAGTTGTAATTCCCTTTGGTTGCTTTAATGTTGATTAAACTGAGGAATATTCGAAATTAGCTTGGAATCTCTTAAGCTGACCAAGCCCTCTTAGACAGACTATCCGGCAGACGACTAGCCTTCACCGGAATAGAATGCTAAGGCAATTAACATAGATCTCCACTACTGGAAACATATTCCAGTACAAAGCAATGAATTGACTGACTCTTGTACAATCAATTCACTCATATCGATTGAAGAAGCTCTAATAACCTAATCGGATTCTATCTATCCCGGGTTGAAGTAGAAATCAAGAGAAGTTGATCATGATTCAATTGACTCAATAAACACACCTCAATCGATTAAAATCAATTAGTATCTCAATCCAAAAGTCATTACAATCAAGATCCCTAACACATGGAACTAGGGTTCTTCATACCCAAGTGAGAGAAAATTCTACTCCATAGAGAGAGAGAGAGAGGAAAACAAAAATCAAAGCAGTCATACTCATAAAGATGGGAATAATCTGCTCTAGGATGTCAATCTTCACTCCTGGGAATGCAATCTGAGCTTCAATGGTGAGAAATCCACTCCAAATAACTCCTAGGGTTTATTCTTCGCCCTTTTTCTCTCTAAAACTCTATTTTTGCTCTGAAAATTCGATTCCCCCTCTCCAAGACCCGAAATTGGGTTAAAACCCAGAAATTCACGACCACACAGCCAGGCCAACGGTCGTGTAGAAATCCATTCTGCCGATGTAACTCCCAAAACGTGGTGTTGCACTTAGTTGGTCGAAGGAAGTTACACGGCCAGATCACACGGCCGTGTGAAATTGAACATTGCCCGTGTAGACCCCCTGGACATTCCGTACTGCCAAAATGTGCCCTTGCACAGCCAGTACAGCCTTGACCGCGTAAAAATCAGATCCCGGCCACATCGTACGGCCGCGTAGAATCGTCTCTTGCCCGCGCACAACCATGTTGCACGACCGCGTGAAATCATGAGTTGGCCGCGTGAAATCCTCAGCTTTCCGTCAAACGTCCCAACTTCGTCCAATCGACCCCGAACTCGTGCCCAAGCCTTCATTCACGTATGAGGACCTGAAATACCACAAACAAGAACAACCTAGCGTGAAATCGGCCTAAAACACGAGAGACGAGGCTCAAACAATATCCGAATGGTGGACAAAAACATGTATAATTATCGAGTCATCATCACACCACGAACATCATCAAGCTGCCCCTCCCGAACCTTGTTGAGCAGTACTTGAGCATCACATGCAAAAATCATGGAACGGATGCATCTAAAGAGACTCAAATGCATCACATCTCGCAGGGCCAACAATTCAACCAGAAACGCATATGAGATCCGACTTGCTACCACTACAACTCAATCCCAATTATAGGCGAGGTGTAACCTATTACCGGGTGTAGCATAGAGTAAGTATTTCAAATATCAACCCAGACGATCTTTAATTCTTTATACCCTTACTGTAGCCGTCTACAAGTTATCTAACAATTAAATTTTTGTTAAAGCTAATAAACTAAACAACCAAGCAATTAAAACGATGTTGAATTCAATTGTTCCAAAATTGGAAGATTTGATCAATAACACGCAATTTGCATGAATATACCTCAATCAATAAATAAACCACAATACCCATTCACAATAGAGTTCACAAACTACAATCTACAACATCCTGGACTAGGGTTCCTATCATCCAAGAGAAATTGATGTTTACTCCATAGCTAGAAGATAAATAACAACAAAGATAGTAGAAAAATACATGAGAAAGTGATTCTTCCTCTTCCTAGTTGCTTGAACAGATCATTGGAAGAGAAATCTGCCCACCAATTGACTTGGGTAGGTAAATTTCGCCATCTTCCCTTCCTTGCTCGTAGCTTTCTCACTCTACGCTTGAAGAAGACCCCTCAATTCTCTCTAGAACTCTCTCGCTCAATTTCAACTCACTCTCATTTATATAGCCTATGAGTGCTCATATCACGGTTGCACTTCACGCCCGTGAAGTATGCAATGAAACCATGAACTCAGCACAAAACTTGTCATTTCATTAACATACTTCACAATCTTGTTGCTGACTTCAATGGAAAATTGTATGGAGGGGAAATTTCCGGCGAAGAATTTTTAAGGATTCCGGGGAATTGAAATGTTCACTTTTGTGAACTTCATTCCCTTTTTATACATCCCGAGGCCGGGGATCACAGTTTTGGTGTTGATATCACGATCTCAAACAATGATCCTAACGCGCAAACCGTGATCTCAACCGAAAACGGTAAGTGCCCGTGAAAATTGCTTGCAAACCGTGATGTCTCGAACTTTTGGCAGAATCCATGCCGATATCACAGGTTGGTTGTAATCGTCACGGTTTGAACTGTAAGCATAATACCAAAACCGTGATGTGTGCAAAAACAGGGGATTTCACTAATTTTCAAACTTGCTCAATTCAACCGTGCCCCAAACTCAAACACAACACAATCATCGATCACACTCATCAACCATGGGCACGGTGATCATTCAAAACTCATACACTTGACTCTAACACATACAAAAAGAGAAAACAAGGAAAAGAAATACAAACCTACGTTCGGTTGCCTCCCAACAAGCGCTTATTTAACGTCCTTAGCTAGGCGTTACAGATCTTCATCCTTTAGAACATGAGGCCACTGAGAATGGATTCGCCACATTCTCGGGGCGAGGCTCGCCGCCTCGGACTACCATTTTCAAAGGATGGCCTTCATAGCCATTTGCTTTCTTCTCGCCCTTGTTCTTGTTACGGGGAATGTAGAGATTTTTCATCTTTTGGTGTCACTCCTTGTTTTACTTTACTTCGGGTTGTGTACCCTTTTTGGAATCCTACTTCACATCATTACAAAAACGAAGAGCATAAGTGGGGTTTGTCTTGGAAGGGGGTTCACTCTGACTACAACATTCCTAAACGAAGGCCAAGCATAACAGACAACTAAGTGCATCATAGGGTAAAAGCAATAAGATTTATCAAACCACGGGGGTCTAGGTGTACCCTACTTCAGGGTTTAGGTTCGTTATCTAGCCAACCTAGAATAGTAATTAGGAAAACTAAATCTAACTAACCTAGCTAATTACAAGTGGTCGAGCCTTCTTAGGTCTCCAATCCATGAAAACCATCCATGTATTAAATGAATTCATCAATCAATTGTAGGATATGTCACATACACGAACATTAAACCCAAAATCTGGACCTAGGGTTCATCAACCTAAGAGAAGGGGTTTAGTTCATAGAGATGAGAGATATTACAATACAAAGCACGAACTCTTCCATCTTCATCTTCTATGGGTTGGTCTTCAAGCTCCAATGGTGGGTGACATCCTTCAAATAAGCTCCAAGGACCCTCTAGATATCTCCCTCTCTCTAGAAGTCCCCCTTTGGGAATTTGGGTTGGGAGCCTAGGATGGAACCCAGAATTCCAAACCCAACAAAGATCTCCTTCTCTCTCCTAGCTACCTTCTATTTATATTTCCTGAGAGCCAACATCACAGTCTTGATGTCACGGTCGTGACATCAAATGCGTGCTCGTGATCTCGGACAAATGGCAGATGTCCGCCACCGTTTTGGTCCATCCTACGGTCATTGAGAAAAGATCATGGTATGGTGTCGTGACAACTCCTCCTGCCCGCAAGACATGCAAATGTTTATGTTCCTCAATGTCACGATTAGCCATCAAACTTCACGGGCTGGTGACCTTGACGGTTTCTCCTAGTCCGTGACCTTGCAATTTTCTTCGTACTTTAGTGCCTTTCGACCTCCATTCATCCTGAAACTCATCCTCGACCTTCTCACACATACTAGGACCTGAAATGTAGCTAAAATAAACAAACTAGTGTAAAATATGTTGGGGTACATCATTTGCCAAGTCAAACAATCAAGAATTGAGGGGTAAAGCATGTATAATTCGGCCTAAATCAAACTCCCCCATACTTGAACATTGGCTTATCCCCAAGAAAACCAAGTACAAAACAAGGTAAGCTTGCAACATTCTTTCTTGAAAAACTTTGTGACATGTCAAAGGGCACAAAACAAATAATTCACAATGGTTATTAGACATCAACATATGGCAAAG